TATATATCTATCTATCTATAGTGTGTATGTGTGTATATATATATATATATACACACAATTAGTGTGGGTCTTAGATATCTGGATTCCTTGTGTATATGGTTGTCAGTTGGCCCTGAATTCTAGTGACAGTCCTTGTCTTTGTAGCTTTGACCCTGGGACTGCACCTGATTGTGCTTCTCCATTGACTGCCCATTAAAAGGACATTTAATTCTACAACCTCACTGGCTGATAGTGCTATACAGGCTGACCGCTTTATGACCCCAGCACGCCCCTTAAGTCCTCGCATATCAGGGCCCATGCCGTTCCAATGTTACAGCAAAGAATTAGCAATGTGCACCTGTGTGCGCTCTTAGTTCTCCCCTCCTGGCGAATTAGTACATGTATTCCTATAGCACTGAGTGTTTCTGCACCCTGGACTCCGTACAGGGCCCTCAAGGAGCCAAGGTTCTTTCGAGTGTTGGAGGAAACCTGCACAGGAGACTGTGCAAAAACTCCATGCAGATGGTGTCCTGACTAGGGATGAGCTTAGGTTTGGACCAGGCCTGGGCTCCTCTGATCACGAAAGGAATCTCCTTCAGCTGCCGTCCAATCAGCTGCGGTTGGGAAATTCCCTGAGCGCCTTTAACCCCATAAGAACCCTTTTGCCGCCAAGGCCTTTTTTTCATTTTTTGTTTCCACATTTTAGGCCTGAAAATGACTTGAAACCCCCAAACATAATATATTTCCTGAAAGCCAAGACCCTATAGAATAAAATGGCGGCAGTTGCAAATTTTTATGTTGCAAGAAATTAGCGCAACTTATCAAACCCAAAAATGTAGTTAAAAATGCACTTAAGTTTAGTTTCCTAAAACACAATATAAAACCCTTTTACAATATAAAAGATGAGGTTACAGCGAGTAAATAGATACCCAACATGCCCAGGTTAAAAATCGTGTGCGTCCGTAAAACTGCGACAGAATTCAGTACCCCAAAAAGTCCATAGACAACGCTTTAAAAGCCCCCACAGGTCATCAATTTAGAGATACAGATAAATATTGGCCATAGAATTATTGCTCTCACTCCGGCGTCCGTGGCAATACCCAACGTGTAGCGTGATTGTCGTTTTAGTACGCAGACGCACCTGACGTGTGTTTACACATGTGCTCGTGGGGGCCTTAACATTTTTTTTACATTTAATTTATTTAATATTATTTGTAAAACTTTTTTTAACTTTAATTGATATCGCATAAGGAGGCTTACAAGCCCCCCCATTGTGATAGCATATTGGTGGTGACAGATCCTCTTTAAGGTGATGCTGGGGGTCCAAAAGACACCTAATGTCACCTTTACACTCTAAATAAGCTATTGAAGTGGAAATTGCTGGGCTTCAGGAGCCGAGCACTGACCGCTCAGGGACCGGAAGTGATGTAATCTGCATCGCTCCCGGTCCCATAGTACGGGAAGGAGATCGGTAAACGGAGGTTTGTCGCTCTCCACTTTCCCACTGACACCCAAGATGCTGGTCTTAGGCCCGTAGGAGGGGCAGCGGAGCCAGAGAAACACGGCGGAGGGGCAGCGGAGCCAGAGAAACACGGCGGAGGGGCAGCGGAGCCAGAGAAACACGGCAGAGGGGCAGCGGAGCCAGAGAAACACGGCAGAGGGGCAGCGGAGCCAGAGAAACACGGCAGAGGGTCGGGCACTTTACAGGCACCCATAGAAGCGACCTGGCAGCAGCTGAGTCGTCAGAATCACTTCTTTTGTAAAGCTGACAGTCTGTTTAAATGTGCCCACTGCCAATGACGTATGTGTGCGTCACTGGACTCTGAGGGGTTAAGCCATAAAGTGCCATGAGCTACCCCGTCCAATCAGCTGCATGTAAGCAAAGTGGTAGCATGCCGTGACATCATTGACCCTATTGGCTCTGTTTTGGTCAATTACTTACCTGATCCCCACTTCCACAGCTGTCAGCTTCCCCTTCTCAGCCCTGGCTTGTGCACTGTCCCTCAGGGTCCTCCTATATAATGCAGGTCTGTGGGCCCAGTACTGTATGTGATGACATCAGTGGGACCGCTGGGAAGGAGGGGAAAGAGACTGCGGGTGCCATTCTTGGACCTGCGAGGATCAGGTAAGTAAAAGTCCTCTTGACATTAACAAGCAGTATGCACAGCCTAATAGCACGTTATGGCGACCTTACCTGCCAAAGCGATCCCCTCTGGAGCTGCGGGCCGATCGAAAGAAATCTAACAGATTCCTCCATCCATGCTAAACAGTGTGTATAGATGAATCTTCCCCGTCAGGGTATTGTATTGTGACAGTCAGCGGCTGTCAGAATACCAAATACTGCATCTGATTGGCTGCAGTCGCTGTTAGGCCACCAATTTTCCATTCGGCCCCTCTGATGGTGACTGGGTGACCCTCAACAGCTACTAGCAAGGAGCACAGGTAAGGTGAGTATAATGAGGTGTGGGGTTGGATTTGCAGAGACAATGTCACCTTGCCCTGCATGGTACATGAAGTCCAATGTGATCGCCAAACCAGACAATACGAGAATCCAATAATAATAAC